ATTAAAATGCTGTGTGACTGTTTCAATGAACATCCTAAAATTAATTTGAACATAAAGATGATACACAAGTCAACATTATAGGAATGAATACTCCACAAAGCAAATCACACATACATTAAAAAAAAATAAAACTTTCCTAGAAATGTTAGCCAAGCCGGGTGCTGGTGGCTCACGCCTATAATCCTAGCTACTCAGGAGGCTGAGATCTGAGGATTACGGTTCAAAGCCAGCCTGGGCAGGAAACTCCATTGGACTCTTATCTCCAATAAATCACTAGAAAACCAGAAGTGGCACTGTGGCTCAAGAGGTAGAGCGCTCCCTTGAGCTGAAGAGTGCAGCAACAGTGCCCCAGCCCAGAGTTCAAGCCCCACGACCAACCAAAAAAAAAAAAAAAGAAATGTTAGCCATTAAACAGCTAAATTAAACAAATTTGAAACAGAAACTGCTTTTCTATGAGAATATTTAATATGATACAGTAAATAATGTGATTTATATTCCAGAATTTATTGTTGCTTTCATTTCAGGTAATGATAACTAATGAGAAAAACAATCCAACTAGAGAAATTTGGAGAGTAAACAACATGTGGGTGGTAATATGTATGTGTATATGGGTAAATATGCTTGGCTCACTGCTATTTCACCAGAAAACATTAGGAAAGATAGAGGTTTCTGTCAACCAAGGGAGAGGAAATATACCTGAGTGGAACATTTTTAGATTAGTATAAAACACAAGAGAGGACGCACAGAAATCAGGAGGGGGGGGGCAAAAATAAAGTAACTATGAAGCAGTTACAGCAAAAGCTATACAGTCATCAAAGATCAAAAAATGTTGAAAATCAGTCTGATGAATGTCTGAGACAGAAGGGGAAAAAAAAAGAGACAATAAATTCCTGCCAAGTATGTTTTGATTAACACAGAAGGAAAAAGAATGTGGTTTTGATTTGGGTTTTTTTTTTTTATTTGAATCCAGGGATAGAAGAGAAGAAGGAAAATAAGGCATTCAAGAGAACCCCCACTTTACCATTCCATTGGACTTATCTAGAGAGTGAGAGATGAATGTCTAAAAGACTTCACATAACTCCTTAACCTGGTACCAAAGGAATTGTTTCCTTTACTGGTAATATGAATCCTTTCTGTCCTAAAGGAAATTAGATTTCCTCTCCTGTCTAGAAGTTCCTGTGAGAGGCAGCTCCTTCCAAAAGCCCTTTCTCAAATCTGCCCACCAGCCACCTGGGGCCTTCCTCCCTCCCTGGCACAGAACCCTGCCTGACCTGGCTTCACCCAGGAGAGGTGTGCTTTTCCTTTAGTGGCTCTTCAAGTTGTCATTCTGTGGCTCTCAGGCCCCTCCTCCGAAGTTTCTCTACCTGATTGTCAAGGATCTCCATAATCTGGACCTCCCCACCTAACCTCATTTCTTGCTTTTCCTCAATTCCTCCTAAAGAGGTTAATCACCTAGCAGGCCTCCAGCAACAGGACCATTCTGCTTGAGGCTGACAATTCTTCCCTTACTCTGATGCTCTGGTCCCCAAACAAGACTTTCTAGTCATTGCTTTCCACTGGAATTTATAGTTTATAAATTTATCATTGATAATCAATTAGGCAGTTAAGTAATTGTTTTAGTCATAATTGTTTTAGACTTGCTACTGGGAGTTTCTTATCTAGTATGTGATTAGCACTCATTATTATTTCTGGATGGAATGAATGGAGGAATCCACTCTTGTCCACTGGAACTTCAGGTTGTGGAGGAAAGGTCTGAGACTCATCACAGTGAGCCAGAGATGAGGCAACAATTAGAAGTGTACCAAGAACTTTCTAGAATTGGGAAGTTATGGTGGCTCAAGCAGTGCCCAAAGATTTAGGTCTGCATACATCACTCACTCTCCGAGAAGACAGAAAAAGTCTGAAACAAATGGTGCACTCAATGAGTGATAGATACAAGTCATGGCCTCATAGACCAGTAGGGAGTTTCAAAAGTATAATTTAAGCAAAGCATACCTATTACCCTGGCTACTCAGGAGGCTGAGATCCTAAGGATTACAGTTCGAACAGTTGGGGAAGAAAAATCTTTGAGACTCCACCTTCCAAAATAATGAGCAAAAGGCAGGACTTGAAATGGAGCCCAGCAAGCAAGCTGGGCAAGCATCAGGCCCTGAGTTCAAACATAGTATGGTCAAAAAATAAAATAACATACAATTTGAGAAGTTTCTTCCCATGTTGGGTACAAAAAGGCCAATCAATAAGTACTAATAATGTTCTATCTACAGATAAGTCCCTTTCTTGAAAAATATCTTCAAAGTTTTGATAAGAAGGATCTTCAGTATGAAAAGCGTTTTTACAAATAAAAACAATTGTAAGAATATATAATAAAAAATAGAATGAAGCCAGGCACCAGGGGCTTACGCCTGTAATCCTAGCTACTCAAGAGCCGAAGATCTGAGGATCACAATTCAAAGCCAGCCTGGGGAGAAAAGTCCATGAGACTCATCTCCAATTAACTATCAGAAAACCAGAAGTGGAGCTGTGGCTCAAAGTGGTAGAGCACTCACCTTGAGTGAAAAAGCTCAGGGACAGTACCCAGGCCTGAGTTCAAGCCCCATGACCAACAAGAAAAAACAAAGAATGATTTACAAAAGGAGAAAGCAATCATGCTTCCTTGTTTAAAACATTAAAAATCACAAATAATAAAAAAACCAGACTAATAAATCTACATTCACCTAAAAAGCAGTGATTTTTATTGATTAAAACTGACATAAAGAAGCATACTGATAAATTAATCAGGCAGATTACAACATATTTCGGCCTCATGGAAGATATTCCTAAAATGCACACTAAATTTCCCAAATATTTACATGCACGGGTCATGTTTCAAAACAGCAGGGCAACTAAGTTGTGAAATGTTTGCCTTGTTACAAGGAAATTAGTTTCTTAGGATGTGTGTGTGTGTGTGTGTGTTTGTGATTTCTCCTTCAAAATAGCTTAGTTAATCCAGGAGATAAATAGAAGCGATTGGAATAAAAGATGAATAGAGAGAAAAGAGGTTCAAAAAGTGGAGTGGTGGGGGAGAGGGTGTTTTGCCCAGGGAGTGAGAAATAGGAATAGAAGAACACTTCCTTTAGAATTTCTTTTCTTAAAGTGTCTCCTAATCGCCTCGAAATGTCTATGTCATCTTCCTGTTTCAGTTAAGAACATCCTTCCTAGAAATGTAATTAGGAAGGATTAGCTGCTGCATAAGGAGGCTCCGAAGAAATTAAGAAAGAATGATATCTCACTTTAGACTCTGTCCATCAAGTCTGCAATACAAGCTCTTGGCAAGACACCAACATCAGGCGAAGAAAGAAAAGGCAGAGCTGGGAAAGCAGTAAAACTAATGCCTTGTCAAAGCACACCCTGAAATGAGAAATCTTCTTCTCAAAAATAAATCCTTGTATCTGTGGCAGAAGCTGGGGGGTGGGGGGAAGGTGCCTTTTGACACTAGTAACTTATTCACAAGGTTGCCTTGTTCCTAGATGAAACGAAAGATATTTTTTGTTTGTTTGTTTTGTTTTGTTTTTTTGTCAGTCGTGGGCCTGAACTCTGGGCCTGGGCACTGTCCCTCAGCTCTTCAGCTCAAGGCTAGTGCTCTACCACTTGAGCCACAGCACCACTCCAGGCTTTTTCTGCTTATGTGGTGCTGAGGAATTGAACCCAGGGCCTCATGCATGCAAGGCAAGCACTCTACCCCTGAGCCACTTTCCCGGCCTGAAACGAAAGATATTTTAAGGGAATCTTAAAGCAACTACATTTTTTTAAACGCCATTCCACTTTTTATTTGTATTTTCGGCTTCACAAATACTCTTCAAGCCAAGCGTGGTGGCTCATGTCTATAATCCTAACTACTCAGGAGGCTGAGATCTGAGGATTGCAGTTTGAAGGCAGCCAGGGGCAGGAAAGTCTGTGAGACTCTTATCTCCAATAAACTACTCAGAAGAGAAACAAACAAACAACAAACAGAAGTAGCTCAAATGGTAGAGGTGCTAGCCTTGAGTATAGGACAGTGCCAAGACCCTGAGTTCAAGTCCCAGGACCAGGGGGAAAAAATACTCTTCAAGCTGGGTACTGATGATGTAATCTTAGCTACTCAGGAGGCCGAGAGCTAAGGATGGAGTCTGGGAGGCAGCCTAGGCAGATCAATCCAGACTACACTTATCTCCAGTTAACAAAACAAGAAAAAAAACAAGAAGTAGAACTGTGGCTCAAGTGGTAGCAGAGTACTAGCCATGAACAAAAAAGTTAAAGGAGAGAGCCCTGGCCCTGAGTTCAAACCCCAGTATCAGCATACACACAAAATAATAATCTCAAAACTTGGATGGATTGTTTTTGGTGTGTGCGTAAGTGTGCATGTATGCTTATCATTATATACTGATAGTAAAAAAAAAAATGTGGAGAGCATAGAGTAAGAGGTCAAGAAGCCTGGTTCAAGATAGAGCTGTAACTACTCTTCTGGGTAACTTGAACAGAGCAGTGAGCTTTTGAAGATATAAAACTTTATGGTGTACATCAGAAGAAAATTCCAGAAAGGTGGGGAAAAAAAAACTGGCCCTAACTCTTGTTCTATTTTCTACTCTGCCGCAATAATAACTTTCTAAGGGACAAGTACCCAGGATTAATTCTATTCAGAGGTACTAACAGAAATAACACCTTTCTTCCATATCTTAGGAAGTGTTAACTCCACTAAGCCACATGACTCTAGAATTATATGAACACAGTTTTTTTTTTAATCATCAAAGTTTGCATGAGCGACCCTGTTTGCTTTTCATGAACCCTTGAGCCAAGAGTGTCAAGGTTCAAATCAATATTGAATTTAATACTTACAAGAACAAGGAAGTTTCAAGCTCATAAACTGGATTTATAGTGTCAAGTGTCAACAGTTTTCCCAAGAGACCAGCTGACGGGGGGCTCTGCTGTCATCCTGTGCTTGTAAATCTACCTCATGTCTTCAGAGGCAACATAGGAGGCACAAGGAACAAGATGACTTTGCACTGCAATTAAGAATGGAAGAGCCAGAAAACTGCGGTCTGATCCATCAAAAATCCACAGATAGTCAAGAACTGAGTCCTTCCATTACGTAGAAGTCTCAACAGAATGGGAAAGGATGCCTGAACGACCCCCTGCCCTCGAAAGGCCACTTCTACCTCATTTCCTCATGACTCTATGGACTGGATTTCTCTCGTCACCTTGGAGACACTGAGGAGTGAAAAAACACTGGGCACCATGACAAAGCCTTGCAGGGAGGGGGGAACTGAGGTGTCAAGAATGTTCTCTGGAAACTGAGATCCATGGAATTAGTGGGCATTAAATAGAGAGGAAGGTGTGGATGGCAGACAGAATAATATTTGGTCAAAGACAATGTGAGCAGGGAGCTGAGCGAGTCAAAGAGCTGCCTGAGACTACAGCAATGACCAGTGAAAGGAGCACAAGGCAAAACCGAGGAGTTGAATCCTGTAAGTGTGGAGAACTTTGATCTCCACCCACAGATCATGGAGAAGCCATAAAAGGCATTATGCAAGGTAAGACTTGCCTTTTTAAAAGATCCCTCTAGTTATGGACACCGATTTAGATTTCTTTTGTTTCTTCTTTAACTTTTTATTTCATCTTTTATTGAACAGAATATATTTGAAGGGCTGTCAAGGTGGCTTAGTGGTAGAGCCCTTGCCCAGCATGCATGAAGAAGCCCTGGATTCAATTCCTCAGTACCACATAAACAGAAAAAAACAGAAGTGGCGCTGTGGCTATTTTCTTAGCCAGGTACTGGTGGCTCATGCTGATAATCCTAGCTGATCAGGATGTTACATCTGAGGATCAAAGTTTGAATCCAGCCCAGGCAGACTCTTATCTGCAATTAACTACCAAAAAGCTAGAAGTAAAGCTGTGGTTCAAGTGGTAGAGTACCACATTGTACATTGAGATGTTTCTACATATGCATTCAATATACACTGATCAAATTTACCCCATCTATTATTTCTTGTGCTCCTTACTCCTCTTGTATTTTCCTCTTTAAGATATTTTGGCAGCACTAGTGTTTGAGCTCAGAGCATCATGCTTGATGGGCAGGCCCTCTACTACTTGAGCCAGGCTCCTTTTTCTTCAGCTTGTTTTCAGTTTTGTTTTTTAAGTTAGTGTTCCACACTTTTGCCAGGGCTGTCTTCAGACCATGATCCTCCCACCTCTGCCTCCCACCTCTGCCAAGCAGCTGGGATATAAGATTACCACCATACCTGGCCAGTTTCATTATTATTTTTTGGGGGGGTGGGTCCGGTCATGGGGCCTAAACTCTGGACCTGGCCGCTGTCCCTCAGCTCTTCAGCTCAAGGCTAGCGCTCTACCACTTCAGCCACAGCGCCACTTCCGGCTTTTTTCATTTTGCTTATATGGTGCTGAGGAATTGAACCCAGGGCCTCATGCATGCAAGGCAAGCACTCTACCACTGAGCCACCTTCCCAGCCCCTAGTTTCATTATTTTTAACAGATTTCATTTTGCTATTTCCATGCCTACATACAATGTGCTTTGATCAATTCATCTCCCTATTAACTTCTTTCCTTTTTCTTTCTCTTCTGGCTCAGTATGTATCTATAAACACATGGATATCTACAGGTCTGGATTCTATACATGGAAGAAAACATGCGATATTTGTATTTCTGAATCTGGCTGGTTTCACTTACCATGATGATCTCCACTTCCACCTACTTTTTTGAAAATGATACTTCGTTCTTCTTTATGTCTAAAAACTATCAGTTTGTGTATGTCTGTCTGTGTGTGTGTGTGTGTGTGCATGCGCGCGCACGCCACATTATCTACATAGACAGACACCAAGGCACATTATACTACTTAGCTATTGTGAACAGCTCTGCTGTGAAGATGTGTGTGCAAGTGTTTCTATTGCTCCCTGATTTGTATTCCTGTAGATTTCTGGCCAATTTGTATGGTAGTTCTACTTTTCGCTTTTGCTAAGTTTCCATACTGATTTCCATGGTGGCTACACTAATTTACATTCCCACTAGAGTCTCACTATGTAGCCTAAGTTAGCCTCAAACTCAGAATCCTCCTACCTCCGCCTCGCCAGTGCTTAATGTGCAAAGAACTACAGGGAGGCCGGAGACGGCTAGAGCCTCCCCACCCCCCATCCATGGTAAATTCGAGCCCCATCTAATTCCAGTGGGCCAAGAAACATTTTCCAGTCCATTATTTTAATCCCACCTGGTCTTTCTGGATCTTACTGTCACAAATACACACACAAATCTCATATCGAAAAATAGTGCTGAATAATGAGAAACTTTTTTTTTCCTGGTTTAGCAAATCTAGAGTTTCTCTACTGCATAAAGTTTAAGTAGACATCCTTCCCATCCAAGAGTTCTTGTCCTGAGACCACAAGACCTGCTGATCACATGGGACATCATTGAGAAATCAATGAGAGATAAAGTATATACTCAAGAATGTTGGGAAAATTTTACCACAAGGTTATTGAACTTTTACTCTTTATTTCCTACTTGCTGCACTTTTTGTGTAATATAGGTATAATTTTCCCCTATCTCACAAAGACTCACCATTTAGGTTCCAAGTAACTCTGAGGCAGAGAACTGCTATGCATTTTAGTTTTAAATTTTAGTGCGTACATTTCTCAAGCTATTGAATGGAGAAGGAAAGAAGAAAAGAGGAAGACTACTAGGACACAGCAGAACACAGGGAAAAAAAATAGTCCCACAAAGTTTCTAATGTCCTACTCTTAAAAACCTGTGGAAGTGTTAGGTTACATACACAGGGGAGCCAAACCTGAAGATTAATTAAGGTTACCCATCAGCTGGTCTTGAGATAATTATTAGGAAGATACAATTTAATCCTAACAGTCCTTAAAAATAGAAAAGGGGGGCAAAATATGACAATAGGAAAAAGAAAAGAATGAGAAGGACTTAGCCCAGCATTGCTTGTTTAGAATATGGAGGAAGGAACCACAAGACAAGGGATACAGGCAGCCTCTTAGAAGTTGATTCTTCCCATTGAGCCTCGGGAAAGAATGCAGTCCAGCTGACACCTTGATTTTAGTTCATGAAGAACCATTTTAGATTTCTTTACCTCAGAATTATGAGACGACAAATTTGTACTTTTTACAAATCTTTAAATATGTAATTTACTCCTTCCATGAGAAGAAACTAATACCAATGTACTGTTTTAGAAGAGGCAATATACATCTTATAGATAAACTTTAAAGATCACCTAAATTTGAATCCTGATTCCACATTCAACAGGTAAAGGAGCAATAGAGCTATGGTTTGCACGTGAATAGTCTGTGCCAGAACTCATGTTGAGGCTTAATGCTCCAAGTGTGGTAGACTTCTCATTGCTTTGACAACTACCTAAGAAAATCAAAGTAAGGGAAAAAAAGATCAGTTCAGGCTCCTGATTTCAGAGGTTTCTGTCCAAAGCTGTCTGAGTTCATTGCTTTGGGCAAGCAGAGCTGCTCACCTTGTAGCAGCCAAGAAGCAGAAAGAGAGGAGCACAGGATAAGATACAGCTTTCCAGGGTACGCCCACACCAATCCACTTCCTTCACTAAGCCCCACCCCCTACTTTCCACTACCTCCTAATAATTTACCCATCCGACCTGCTCAGTGGCTTGTGCTTGTAATCTCTGCTCCTTAGGAGGTGAGATGGGAACACTGTGGTTCGGGGTCAATTCTGGCAGAATCCTATCTCAAAGAACAAAACAAGTGGAGGCATAATTCCAGCGATTTGGAAGAATGCAAGAGAAAAGTCAGCCTGAACAAAAAGCTTTTGAGATTCCAATTCAACCCACTGGGTTGAACTCTCCTTCTGAGAGGAGGAAGAGATGGATGGGAGGAAGGGGCAGGGTGAAGTGCCTTTGCTGGTAATGAATGTTCTGTTCTCAAACCCGAGTGTCTCTTGCTAGAGTATGACGTTACTTTGGAATGATCATTAGGCTATGTGCACTTCTGTTTTGTTTTGTTTTTTCTCGTGGTTTTCCTTTTATAATTTCCACCTAACTTCAAATGTTTTTTTTAAAGCTTGAAATAAATGTATATATAATGATTTTTTAAAATTACTCATTGGTTCAAAACTTGAGTCCTTATCCCATCCCAAAGGGATGGTAAAATCAGCTCTGAAATCCCTGGCTTCAATATTCCAATACTTTGCCTGTTTTCTATAATCATAAAACAGAGACTGAAAATGCCCCCTACCTCATAGACTTGCCAGGCAGCTCATACACAGGAGGAGTGCCAAGTTGTCTGTAGAATGCTCAGGGCTTAGGCAAGGCCAGTGGTATTATTGCAAGAAGAAAGGACATTTCTGAGATGTGAGTGTCCATGAACAGTCTACAGGCAAGACCTCAGCTTCTAGTGCTACATTTTTTTTCTTCTAGGCAAAACTCAAAAAATAAAAATGCTATATAAGTATTAAAGAAGAAATGCAGGGAAGGGTTGCAGGCTGAGATGAGGGGTCCTAGTAAGTCAGTAATCCCTCCCAGAGTCTGAGAGATCATTCAGGGAAAGTGTCAGTTCTAGGATTGACCAATTCCTTGGTTGCCTTAACATATTCATTCAAGGTCCCAATATCAGCTATTCACAATGATTAAGAAAAACAACAACAACTTAAAACCTATTCCTAAAGTCTCAACTATTGGTGTGGCTTTAGCATGCGCCTACTATCTTTTATGAGAAAATACGATGTTTCTATTTGGTTGTTATTATTCATCAGGAGGGCAGAACATATAAGGGAATATTCCAAGTCTTCCATCCTTGTAGGCAGTATAGCATACAATCTTTTTTTGGAAGTTTCACTAGAATAGTGACAGGAAGATTAAAAGTAGGCAAAGGGGCTAGGAAGGTGGCTCAGTGGTAGAGCGCTTGCCTTGCATGCATGAGGCCCTGGGTTTGATTCCTCAGAACCACATAAGCAGAAAAAGCAGGAAGAGGCGCTGTGGCTCAAGTGGTAAAGTGCTAGCCTTGAGCTGAATTGCTGAGGGACAGCGCCCAGGCCCAGAGTTCAGGCCCCACAACCACCCCTCCCCCCAAAAAAAGTAGGCAAAGTCCAGCACAGTGCTCAGGCCCTCCTCCTTCATGGTATGGACATCACTAAATACTCTTCCATGATAAATGCCAAGAACACTCATTTCTCAAGAACTTTAAAAGTAGAACCCTTCGTCTCTGTGTGGAATTTGTAAAGGGCCTTCTATATTTAGAAACTATCTGGCACACTACAAACTCACTTGATAAATATAGAACTCATAAGAGTTGCTCTTGTTTTTTGAAAAGAAGGTTCTCATCTGCTTCTTTTACCTTTACCATATGCTTGGGAAGAAGAAGAGAGATAGATAGGTAGATAGATAGTGATAAATAGAGAGAGAGAGAGAAGAGAGAAAAAGAGGGAGGAAGGGATGGAGGGGGGAAGGAGAGAGAGAGAGAGAGAGAGAGAGAGAGGAGAAGAGAGGAAGGAAGACAGAATCCATAACAGTAGGTAAATTTACTCCAATGGTTTGAAAAAGAAAAGGTTGTTTTTTCCAGAGACACTAAGCAGTCTCCTTTGTCATGACACCAGAAGATGATGAAAATGGACATCACCAGGAAAGCAAGAAAGACTGGATCCGTGTGAACTCTCTAGATACAGTTGACATCCGCATCCTGAGTAAAACCAGACTTCCTGCTGAAGCACGATGAGAGCAGATTGGGCACATTGTCTCCTCCAGAAGCACTTCCTCCTCACGCTGTACAGATAACAGCTCCCCATTCTGCAAAGCAGTGGTCACTGTACCAGTATACCCCAACAACCAACAGACGTGAGCACCTAAAGAACGTCCTTATGGCTTTCACTTTACAATTTCACAGTCAGTGCCTACAGCATCCATCAAAATTAGCAAGGATAAAATAGGGCATTTGACACGAATCTACAAAGCTTCTCTTAGAGCTACTGAGAACTGGAAACAACTTTTTAGGAGAGACTCCAATGCACATGTGAATAATGAGAGAGACAGAAAGAATAGGCTCTAGAAAGGTGAACAGATATGAACTTTGCTCCTTTGAACTGTTCAGGCAGTAAGGCAGAAACAATCATATTACCCTTAGATGCACCTGCAATCTTAAAGTAACGCATGTGGAGTGACACTGGCAACTAGACTTGGATAACTTCTAAAGGATTCAAGTGTGATGATAACTTGAACTGTTCATATGAACTTTCTAAGGACTCTGATATTTTAAAGTGGAGGAACCATTTAAGGAATCCCAAAACAGACTGCATACATTTATATGCTGGCAGTTGAAACATCATTTGGTTTTTTCCTTCAGGTACTGGAAAACAGCCATGAAATAAACTTCAACAAAAACCATTAATGAAATTACCAACTACAGTAGGTACTTCTCCCTAAAATAAACTGGACAGTGTTTCCAAACCAGGAAACTAGCCTTGTCCTACTGATATCCATTTGTTTTTGTGTCTAGCAGAGACCAGGGAATGATCAGTTACTCTACCGCAAAGCTTTATCACCAAGTATCACGTACCTTCAAAGACCCTGGGCCCATGGTTTTTCTAAAGCAACCTTCAAGAATCAGCAGGATGGGGCTGGGAAGGTGGCTCAGTGGTAGAGCACTTGCCTTGCATGCTCGAGGCCCTGGGTTCGATTCAGCACCACATAAGCAGAAAAAGCCAGAAGTGGCACTGTGGCTCAAGTGGTAGAGCGTTAACCTTGAGCTGAAGAGCTGAGGGACAGCACCCAGGCCCAGAGTTCAGGCCCCACGACAGGACCCAAAAAAAAAGAATCAGCAGGATAAAAAGATATCCACATCCTCCCTTTCTCCCATAGTCCCAGACTTGACTTTCTTCAATTAGGTATCAAGATTTTTCCTGGCAGCACCTCCTGAGTTAACCTCCTTCCTCTGCATTGCCGTGATGACCTGTTATAGAGCCATCCTGTAATTACCATCATTGCCAATACCCTGGCTGGATCAATCTTCTAAGTAAACCAGGTACCATTCCTGTAATCCTAGCTATGCAGGAGGCTGTGATCTAAGGATCACAATTCGAAATGAGCCTGAGCAGGGAAGTTTATGAGACTCTTATCTCCAATTAACCACATAAAAGCCAGAAATCTTGCTGTGGCTCAAGTGGTAGCTTGCTATCCTTGAGCAAAAAAGCTCAGGGTCAGTGTCAGGCCCTGAGTTCAAGCACTAGGCCTCACACACACACACACACACATACACACACACACGCATGCAGAGAGAATAAGTAAAACTGCAGAATTCTCCTACTAAGAAACTTTCTTTAGTTCTTTGTTCAAACAATAAAACTAATTTTGTAAGAAGCACCCCTCTATCTGTTCTCCAGTGTCCAGAATTATTACAGCACAACTGATGCTGTTACCTCTATTCCTCAACCCATACTAAAGTCCTAACAAAATCATATACCTATATGTGGTCATTGTTGAATAATTCCTCCCTATTTCTCCTTTCAAGCAGTGTGGCTTACTGCTACTTCCCGTGGCTGGGGACTCAACTTCGCGACTTAGCTGTGATGAGCAGTGGAGGCATGGCATTTTCAAGACTACCCACTACAAGGGCCCTGCTGCTGTCTCCTTGCTCTTCTAGTCTGGAATCACTGGCTGTGGGAGGAGCCAGTGCTCAAGTTGTAGGACACTCAGCTCTACACAGAGCTCCACAAGGCGAGGAAGTAGAGCTTCCTGTGTCGGAGCAGAAGCCTCCTCCCAGCCACCATCTTGGAAGTGACTTCCCCAGCCCTTGAATAACAGCTACCCTGCTGACTGCTTGACTGCTATCCCAGAAGAAACTCAAGCCAGGGCTTAAAGCTAAGTGTCTCTTGAATTCTTGACACATGGAGACAATCAATAAATGCTTACTGTTTTAGGCTGCTAAGTTGTGGGATGATTTGTTATACAGCAGAAGGTAACTCACACACTAGGCTACACATTCCTAAAATGCTCCATGGTTTCCCACATTTGTAATAATTAGTATATGCCTAGGATAATCCTAGCAGATCACAATAGCTCAATAGCTATGTACATGTGACCATATAAAATGATGCTAAAGCAGAAATGAACTCCAAAAGATGGAAAAAAGAGGGTGTGTGTGTGTGTGTGTGTGTGTGTGTGTGTGTGCGTGCACGCTATTCAATTTTTTTTTTTTTTTTGGGAGTCTGGTAGTGGGCCTGAACTCTGGGCCTGGGCGCTGTCCCTCAGCTCTTCAGCTCAAGGCTAGCGCTCTACCACTTGAGCCACAGCGCCACTTCTGGCTTTTTTCTTATGTGGTGCTGAGGAATCGAACCCAGGGCCTCATGCATGCAAGGCAAGCGCTCTACCACTGAGCCACCTTCCCAGCCCATTCTTTTTTCTTTCATTTCCTGTGGTCACTGTTTTTTTTTAATCTCAGTACTCTTTGTCTTGTAATAAGTTTATCTGATTTGCGGAAAGAAGGGGAGTCACAGAAATGGTGGGACAAAGGGTGAACCAGTGCAACATTGATACGCACTGGACACTATGTTGGAAATGAACTCTACAACTTGGGGGGGAAGAGAGATGGAGAGGCAAATGGGAGAAATGAGGGAAGGTAACACTGTTCAAAAAGAAACAGGCACCGGGCCCTGGTGGCTCATGCCTGTATTCCTAGCTACTCAGGAGGCAGAGATCTGAGGATCACGGTTCAAAGCCAGCCCAGGCAGGAAAGTCCATGAGACTCTTATCTCCAAAAAACTGGAAGTGGAGCTGTTGCTCAAGTGGTAGAGTGCTATCCTTGAGCTGAAGAGCTGAGGGACAGCGCCCAGGCCCAGAGTTCAAGCCCAACTACTGACAAAAAAGAAAAAGAAAAAAGAAAGAAAAAAACGTACTCATTACTTGACTTATGTAACTGTAACCCCTCTGTACATCACCTTTACAATAAAAAAAAGAACTTTCCTGGAGCCATATATGGTGGAGAACATCTATAATTCCAACATGTGAGAGACTGAGGCAGGAAGATCTCAAGTCTGAAGCCAGCCTAGGCTATAGAGCAAGACATTAGTGACAGACAAGGAAGATGAAAAAGGAGGAAGAAGAGAGGAATAACTTTGTTGGACCTAGGTCACACACTCTCTAAACTCAACTCAACCAAAGGTAAACTGAATTCAAATCATAGCTACTGACCTAAATTGTGTCTTTTTTTTTCTGTCAGTCATGGGGCTTGAACTCTGGGCCTGGGCGCTGTCCCTGAGCTCTTCAGCTCAAGGTGAGCACTCTACCCCTTCAGCCACAGCGCCAGTTTTCTGGTGGAGATAAGAGTCTTACGGACTTTCCTGCCTGGGCTAGCTTTGAATTGCAATCCTCAGATCTCAGCCTCCTGAGTAGCTAGGACTACAGGTGTGAACCACTGGCCCCCAGCTAACTGTGTCCACGTTTAACAATACTGTTTTATCAAACTAAGCCATCCCTCCAACATGCCAGGCACATCCCTGTCTCGAGGCCTCTGCCCACAGACATTTGTGTGGTTCCTGCACTCCAATCCTCAAACTTCGACTGAACTGCCACCTTCCCACCAGGGCCTTTCCTGACAGCCTATTCCAAACCGCACATCCCCCACCCGGCCCACCTTGCTTCTCTCCTCGTTAGTCCTCTTTTCCACAGCACGTCTCACAACCCCAAAATGCAGAGGAGGGCATCATCCATCCATCCATCCTCTGGCCCTCTCCAGTGGGAAGCAGGCCTCCAACCTTGCTCACCTGACCGCAGTCCCTTCACACAGGAGGTGCTCAGTGAAGACGGGCCAAGTCAGCGATGAAGACTGAAGCAGTCTGTATTGTAACACCGAACATCTGGCACGTCAGGCAACCTCGTGTTTATAGTAGAACAACTTCAGTAGGCTAGATTCACCTCCCCTTCACAGGTGAAGCACAAAGCAAGACTTTGAAACATCTCCAACAGGCAAGATTCTTAAAAAACAACAACAACGAAAGAAAGCGAAGAGAGCCTATCATACTTGATAAGGTGATTAAACACGGATGAGATTACGTCACAGTTGACTAACAGGCCAACTGTGCCTTTCCTTTTTACTCCACTTGTAGACCAGCCATCAGCTCAGAATCCCTGTATAGGCCAGGACTCTATCTTCTATGTCCTAGTCTATCCTGTAGGGACCACTAAGTTCACAACTTAGTATCAGGATTCATGGCATCTTCGCCCCTAAGTGGCACACCCACTACCACAAAGCTACCATTAAAAGCATCTCAATTCAGCAGAGTAGGTCTCCAGAGCAAATTACCTAATAATCTTTATTTTCGAGTCAGGACTGAAACTGTAGCCTCCTCTTTGACTCATAACATTCTTGTCCAAACTACAATGCTGCGACCCAAAGAAGGTGGGGGAGGGGAGGAGGCTGCTCCTCCATCTGACAAATAGTTCTTTCACAATCCATACATGCGCAATGCCAGAGCTTCAGATTCTAACCGTGGATAGTGATACAATGTTGCTTGCACATTACAGTTTATGTAAGAAATAAAGGTAGGAGAGAAATACTAAATGCAATGCTCTATAATCTAACTATTGATCACTGAAGCATAGTTCAGCACAAAATTGTTCTTTGTTTTCAGGATCAGAACAATGCTAAAAGGAAGATGCCTGGCTATAAGACAGCCAACGGTTTATATCACTGCAAGGACACACACAGCTACAGTCATGGTCTAGCACCAAAACAGTACCATTTTCCTTCAGAGCAGGGGTGAGCGAGCCACAGCTTATGAGCAATTACAACCCACAGCCTGATTTTGTAGGGTCCAGAAGTTAGGAAGGACTGTTATATTTTTAAATGGCCAAGAAAAAAAGTCATAAGGAAAAGGAAATTTCAGGATACCAAAACTCAAATTTCAACATCCATAAATAAAGGTTTTTTTTGCAACACAATAGTGTTGTTAGTGCACTGTCAAGAGTGCTTTTTATGCCACAAATGCAAACCTAAGTAGCTGCAACATAAACCACACGTCCCCCAAAGCTGGAAATATTTACTATCCAGTCCATTACAGGAAACTTGCACTAGCCCCTCCCTTCAGGGTATGGATGCTAGGATTGGCCACCTCTGTTTAACCCTGTAGTTCATCATTTGGCCATATGACCTTGAAAACATACTTAAACCACTCTGAATCTCAATTTTCTCATCAGTAAATGAGAGGTTGTGCCAGTTTAAGTTGTAAATTAATGATCTCTATGAAGCATTTAAAGAGTTGCTGGAATATAGCAAAATCTTACTAAGTTTTCATTAGAACTGCAAAATGTGTTTTCTAACTGAAATCTTGCAAAGTGGTTAGACTTAAACCTAGCTCCCCAAAGTATTTATCATGGTAGAATGGAAGGATTGTTGCTGATGAGAGAATAATGAATGATGAGATGAGAGAATAATGAAGAAAACCAGCAGAAAGAAAAGAAGATTGAGGACAAAATAAGAAGGGAAAAGAAAAGTTATTAGGACCCCACAGGAACTATAGGTGGCCTATTCCAATAGGAAATATAAATTAGGGTAATTCCATCTACAGTGACAGATTAAATAACCTCAGTGGGCTACGTGAGTACTAATCAACATGTGGAAATAGTCCCTATGAGGGGAAAAGCATTCTAAATTCCAAGCAAGTGATTTACCAGTGAATGGCTAGGTCAAGTTCTTTTTAAGTCGGGGACTTCCTGTATTTTACATTCCCAGGCAAATGACAATTATAGCTGCAGCCAATTCTCTATCACATTATCCATGTCAAGTGGGGTTTTTTAAAGAGGAGAAAATTTGTGTAAGAACCCTGTGCATCTGAAGGGCTGTGCTTCTCATATAACTCACAGAAGGTCAAGAATAATCTCTCTTATCCCTGACTTCTCATTGTGCACAGCATTTACCACCCAACACCCATGGAGGGTAGGGAGGAGGGGGGTGAGCTCCCATAAATAGAAAGCAAGCTCATGTACCGCAGAAATTACCTTCATGATTACAGGAAGGTTAAACGTGATTTTAAATCAATATGCACATGCCGGGTGCCAGTGGCTTATATCTGTAATCCTAGGTACTTGGGGGGGGGGGGGGGGGCTGAGAATGAGAATGGAAGAATTATGGTTACAGGCCAGACCAGGCTGAAAAGCTTTTGAGCGCTAGCCTTGAACTGAAGAGCTGAGGGACAGCGCCAGGGACAGGCCCAGAGTTCAGGCTTCATGGCTGGCAAAAAAAAAACCTCATTCTACAACACTAATATTACCCTGATTCCCAAACTAAGATAGGATATAATAAAAAAAGAAAAAGAAAAATCTCATGTTCATAAAGATCGGCAGAATTAATATTGAGAAAATAAATATATCACCAAAAACAACCTACAGATTCAATTTAATTTTCCCAAAAATCCTCAATAAAATACTTTTTTGTTGTTGTTGTTGTTGATGCTGCTGCTGTTGTTGGTTGTGGGGCTTGAACTCTGGGTCTGGGTGCTGTCCCTCAGCTCTTCAGCTGCAGGTAGAGTTAGCACTCTACCACTTGAGCCACAGCACCACTTCTGGTTTTCTGAGTGGTTTATTGGAGATAGGAGTCTCACGACCTTTCCTTCTCAGGCTGGCTTTGAACTGTGATGCTCAGATCTCAGCCTCCTGAGTAGCTAGGATTGTAGATGTGAGCCACTACATCCGGCTGCTCAATAAATATCCAAATTCAATAACATATTTAAAGGGATCCTGCACCATGATCAAGCAGGCTTCATTCCAGGGATGCAAGGCAACTGATATAATACAGCACAGAAATACAGTCAAGAACAAAAATCTAAAAAAAAAAAAAAAAAAGAACAAAAACCTACCTATCTCAAGAGATACAGAAAACACCTTTGACAAAATTCGGTGCCTCTTTATGATAAAAAGTCCCAAAGAAATTAG